GGGGGGGGGGGGGGGGGGAGTGTGTGCGCGTGCACACACACACACTATGGCATATGGCCTTTTTTATCACAGAACTGTTTAATCCATAACAATTACAGGGTCAAGAGCATTCCAGTTTTATTTCAGTGTCAAGCCCATTTTTCTGAATGTCAGATGTACATATAAGACAGTAAGATGCTGAAATTCACATTCTCTCAAGGCTGTTCAATACATACTTGGCACTAAGACCTCCACCAGGAGGCAAACCAGGGATGTCTTCATCTGCCAATGTCTGAAAGACATGAACAAACCGTAATCCATCCGCCTGTCGAACCATTTCTGCAACAATTGTTAATTTCACTAAGTGAACTTTCAGGAACTTGTTACTAAATATAAAATGAAGAATGTGTCACAAGGAAACATAGAACCAAACATCAAAAATATAAAGCAGTTACAGTTACAGTAGAGGATTTCTCATCACTGCTGCAGCTTGTAAAGTACCAAATGCTGCCTATAATGTGACAAAGAAGCAACCATTGGCATGGGAATTGAATGAAGATCAGTCTGGGAGATTTGAGGTCCTCATGATGGTGAAGATGACAGTGTTATTCATCTGGATTGTGAAACCCTATAGACTTGTAAACAGATACAAATATTTCAGAAAAACATACTATCTCCATCTTCAGACCTAAAGATGGAGAAACTGTTTCTGTGAAACGTTGGTATCTATATACAATTTTATATGGCGTCATAACCCAAAATATCGCTGAAGAATCTGTCTGCATTTTAAAATGTTGAATTGAAAAACAATGTTCTTACTATGCTTTTAAGACCATTGTTAAAATATGTGTCATCAAATATGGTATTTAAGCACATTTCCCAATGAAATTAAATATTCCTACACAGTCACTGAAGTTTCCCTGTAATTTTCATAAAAATTATCTCAGTTTTATAAATCTGAGGTCTATAAATAATATAACTTAACAATGACTAACACATATGGAATAACTTTTACCTGTTATTCTCCTTTCTAATGAGGCTTCAAGTTCAGCTTCTTGTTGAATGGCTTCTGAAGACGGCTGTGGAACTCCTGGGAAGGTGACTAGCACAAAACTCAAGTTATCTCTGCTGCCCTGAAAAAAGGAATGGAAACAATTATTATTTACAGAAAAATCCATCCAAAAATCCCAGCAAATCTACAAGTACAACAACAAACCTTATAAAGGCAGGTGTCTATAACTTGATTTGCAATGTTCTCGAGGTCATTAGTAAGAGCAAGTCGGGATCTCACGAAGTCGCAAAGGTCCTCATTGGACATGACATCCCACACACCATCACAGGCCAACACCAGGAACTCGTCCCGTTCCTCATCTCTGTCCATTACGAACACTTCGGGCTCAGGAGAGACCAGCTGCTCACAGGGACCACGTCCTTCTACATTCTTGTACTCGTAGTCACCAAGTGCACGAGATACAGCCAGTGATCCGTTAACACGCTGGACCATGACGCTGCCTCCTGCACGCAGAATGCGTTCCTTTTCACTTGGCAGGACGGGCTTATGGTCTAGTGTGGCAAAAACTGGTTCGCCAGAACGGCACAGCACTGCACGAGAATCTCCACAGTTGGCTACATATACTTGGCGTGGGGATACCAGTGCGCACACAGCTGTTGATCCTGACTTATCCTCTCCACTGGCCAATTCTGGAAGTTCTCGCATGCGGTCATCCAGGTGCAGGAAACCTGAGCGGATGCCCTTGATGACATCATGTCGGAACTCCTCTGTTTGTACAATGCATTCTAGCAAGTGATCTGCACAATGGGCAGAAACTCTGGCACCAGCATGACCGTCAAACACGGCAAAGAATGACCAATCCTTCAGCTCTTCACCTAGCCCAGTGACAGCACAGTGGGCATCTTCCATTTCCACTCGCCATCCTTGCATGCTTGCGACTCCATAGCGTAACCCATTACCACAACCATGCTCATTGTGTTTCTCTGTCTTTGGCTTATCCAGAAATGAACCCATCCTGCTGTCTTATGTTATAAGAATCTTCATCTGAAACATGAAAGCCAAATCTTCTACAACCATGCACCATATCTGCATAAATGTATATGTTCACAATTCTGTAAAAAAAAAATCATTTCGTCCTCTCAATGTCTACAATGACAATCACATACCTCATACTTTTTAGTTACCTATTTTTAAAAAGAAAAATTGACGTATGGCATTATCATATTTTATATATTATATACTGTGCACCCCTAATATGTTCTGAAACAACAGATTTTTATGAACCTTGGTATAAACATCACACCCCTAGAGAACACACCATCAATACACTCACTGTCAAAATCAAATTTTTCCACTTATCAGATAACTTTTAATGCTACCAGCACTGAAAAACCCCAATTCAGCACACTACTCTATGTACTTTGGGCTTTAAGCCCTGGCATTTATCTACAATCTGCTTTTAAATAACCAGCATTGATTCCTTACCAAAGATGTATTAAACTACAAAGCTCTGGAATCATTTTACCAAAGAATCAATTACAACTGTAAAACAATTCTGCTGCTTTTTTTTCGGTACATGTTTACGACAAAAGGAAAGAGCAATGATAACAGTCAGATCTGAGTTAACGTGTTTCTCAAAAATTACATTGTAAGGGATTTCTGTACCTAAAACGATCTTCTTTAAATCACAGCACAAAATATCTGTTCATTCAAAGGTACTCATGTGTCACATGGTAAGTCTTAATGTTCAGCACAATACATAACTATCACCATTGTCTAGTTCCTGAGAACATTCCAATTACAAATGTTAATATTAATTATTACTTATGAGTCTTGCATTTCATATTACAGTTTCTGAATATAAAATCCTAGACTAAAATCAACAATGACTTCATCTGATAATTCTTTAAACTAGCAATGACAAAATTCTTGAAGACACATCTTGAAATGCAAATTTATCCTTGAAGCCTACAAACACTAACAAGCATTAGTTCAAAGCCAGCAAATGACCATAATTAGGTTATGCAAGACTAAATTATATTATAATGTACCACGTTCCACTATAATAAAATTATTCTAATTACTATACACATACTTTTACTATGCAAAATTATGCTTCAAACGGAAATATAAAAGCTAGAACTGCCCCATCTCAGCTTATGCTTACATTATGTGTAGCCACATTTCCTCGAAACATGCCACTCATAAACAAACAAAAAGTAAATTACAATAACACTTGGTAACTGTGCAAGCAGAAATTCATGGGTGAAAGTACTACAACCCATTTTCACATGCGTATTTTCTAAACGAATTTCATAACCTCTAACAAATTTTCTTACAGATGTATGGCTTACATCACACATTTTCAGTTTATACCTTATAATCACAGAGTTCCTAACATCTTTATGGACTATTATTTTCTCGTCTTGACATATACTCGTAGTTTCATCGAATGTTTTGCATTTTACCAACAACAAAACTGACTACTAAGAATGGCGGATATTTATTTCATAAATATTGCGCATGCCCTCTTTCTAAAAATAGGATTCATTGGTGATGTCATACCGTTCCAATCACAGCTGATAGCAGAACCATCTTCCTGTTATCCACAGAGAATCCATTACCTCTGACCGTTAAGGGAAAAATAAAACGAAGTATGGAATATAGAACTATGTTTGCTGTTTAAATAGGCGCAGAATAGAAGCTGCTTGCATTTAATTCCACATGTACTTGGCCTTTGTTATTTCTGCACTTTAGCAATTTTTTTGGCTATTTGCTGACATCAACTAACAGAGCTCTTCCCCCCTTCCACGACAGACCTAAAATTAAATTTCACAGATGCATGGACGTGACTACATCTTACCTTATGTTGCAGTCTGTGACAATGATGTGACCTTGCATTCAGAATGCGGCCAATCACACATCAATGAAACCAAATGCACGTACATGGGCTGTGAGACACTTAACTGTTGCTGAACACATATACCTGTCAAAACTGAATACAAAATTACACAAATTTTAGGTGCATTTGTAAAATTTTATTTTGGGCATGTCCTTTTATATGTATGAAATAACTAAAATTTAAAGAATGTATTTATTGTTTCCTAAAATTTAAGTAAGTCCTCAGTGTCTTACATAAACATTCATATAAAAAACTGATGACTGACATTAGAATGTCACGATTATGTCTCCACAGTATGAAAGAAAATTTAGGATGACAGTGGTAGTAATACAGTATCGTGCACAATGCATTTTATATTTTTACAAGTCCCTACCTGAAGGAATAATGCAGTAACAAATATTTTATTTGATTTATGAAAAATGTTTCTTACAGAGTTACATGTGTGCACAAAAGACAAGACCATGATCATCAAAGAATTACACAAAAAATTATGACACTCGTTATTTGTGTCCTTTAATTTTTTATAAGAACCCAATGTTTAATTAAAAATAACAAATTGGGTTGTTAATCACTGGAGACTTTCAATGTATTAACCATCTACCATTAGGATTTGAGGGTTATACAATTATTTCAAAATAAACTGTGATCTTATGGATCATTCTGCTGTAACTATATCACTTTAACAATTGTCCAGTTGTTTACTTTTGCCACAGGAACCACACCATGGCCCATTCAGGGGTAGACAAAGTAACACAGAGGTCTTATATACATGCAAAAGAAACACATCATGATCCATCCATGTTTTACTGTTGCTATAATATGCTGTTACATATAATCAGAATATAAAGAATTGTAATTTCATGACAATAAATATGATGCACAACTTCAATATAAATTACGAAAATCAACTTGCTAGATAAACACTTGTTCACTTGCCAAGTTGTCTGCAAATGGCTTGACAATCTCCCTAGTTGCAAAGTAGAAGATGAGCCCGAATGTGATAGAAATGGGAAGTGCTGGTAAAGCTTTCTTAAAAATGGCTAGTAACAGCAACGTGAGGCACAGACCCTGCAATGAAATAACACTGATTAGTATTCAAGAAACTCCTAGATTTATTTTCTCTCTTTATTTATTTAACGAAACTTTGTCATCTATGAGTGTTGTATCCAATCAATGTGTTTTTATGTTTGAAAACATGAACTGGCGATAGGAAGGTAAAAAACTGACACCCCCAAACAAATATGTTTAAGTACATCATTGCTCCAAATTCATCTACCACTGCCCCATTAGGTATACAGTCTTCTTCTTCTATGACTCTCTGGTCCGTATTCGGTCCGTGGCCTCCTCAATTCTCCTCTTCCATTCGGTACTCTGTTAGGTCCGTCTGTCCGAGGCTTTGATCAAGGTTTCGAAACATCTTCCTTTTTACGGTGCAAGGTTGTTAGCCTTGCTACCAACCCCCAACCTGGAGGACCAGGGTACCTGTCTTAGTCTGACCTCTCCCCCTCGACCAATAGCTATGCTACCGCCAGCATAGCTCTTGGGGTCTCTGAGGTACTCAAGCCACACCACCACGACAGGTGCAGGTAAGGTATACAGTAGCCCGACTATTAACATACCCTCCAAACTAAGTTAGGGGCTTCAACCAGCACTTGACTGGTCATGAAGTAAAGATAGTTTACAGTTATAATGATCATTATTTCATTACAACTGATTGCCATCTGACCTCTTCTCTTATATCTGTAGCTATAATAGTACCGTCCCGCGCCGTAGCCGCGTGGTCTGAGGCTTTGGCTCTCTGGAGCTGTTACGCCACGGATTTTAATAATAGTACCAGCCTTTAACACTTACAATAAGGATGGCAACAAAGCAGGCCAGAGTGGTATTCCAGTCACCATAGGATGATGCCTTGCCAACCAGAACACTGTAGAAAATGAAGTCTCCTAGACCAAGTTTCACGCCGCCTGCAAAAACGCACAGTATAACTGAACATGGTCTGCAAGAATCACAGTAAAAATCTTATAGTTGTATAAAATCTCACAGAAATTTTCTGCATTCTACCATGAGTATAATGTATTCCTTTCTTAAAAATTAAAAATATCAGCCATCTTATATACTACATCAGTGGTCCCCAACCTTTTTGTGCCTACGGGCACATTTGAGAGTTTATGAGATCGTGTCGGGGACCAACCAATTAACAGAGCCAAATTTTCTTTTCTCTGGACAAATAAGATATGGACACCAAATAATACACAAAACAACACGACGTTTAATGATACAAGAAACCATGCAATCAAAAGTACAATTATTATTACTCAAGTGGGAAGTTAGTGTGATGTTTGGCACTGCATTTCATCGACCAGTTTTTCAAATTTGGGAGTGTAGGATGATGTTGCTGCTCGCAAATAATCGTCAAGATGGGCGACAGTAAGTAGAGATCTGTGCTTTGATTTTATAATGTTCATGGTTGAACGGCCTTCATTATTCAGTATAACCTCTTTCCGTAACAAAGCGGGCACCCAAAAAAAGCCTTGGCGGGCACCGCGTTGGGGACCACTGTACTACATTATTTCAATGTCTTGATCATTCATATTACAAAAACTTCTCTAAAAGCTCCCTAATAGTAGCAACTTTTTTAAAATAAAATATTTTGCCACATAGCAGACAGACAACTTTTAGAAATCTATGAGTGCTACAAAACATCAAATCAGTTTTTACGCAATAAAAGAGTACTAGAAACAATATATTTCTGACTTTTCTTAGATATTAATCACAGATCCTAATTTTTTTAAGTGATGCGTATATCTACATATATTTGCTGAGGCCTTGAGCAGAACTGAATCACACCATCTGCGTTGGTACTCACGTTCTTCCTCTTCCACTTCCACCTGTTGTTGATGTCCTTGCTGGTGTGGGAATGTTCTGTAATCTGAGACGTGTCCACTAGACGCTTCCCTAACTTCCCCTTGCCTGCGGGCTGCATTTGCCTCGTGGTTTGAAACCCATTCACGGGAGAACCCGCTTTCTGAATCCATGTCCGCATCAGGGATGGGGAAGGCAGGAGCATGTTGTTGATATCCAGTAGTAGTAGTAGTAGTAGTAGTAGTAGTAATATTAGTAGCAGTAGTAGTAGTAGCAACAGCAGGAGTGGTATGGCCAGCAGATTCTTGTTCGTCACCACCGGCAATGCTTACATAACTGTACATGTATGTCGCTAGAATACAGAAAATCCATTCAGATATTATATTGCTCATTTCAATCCCTTCTTAAAGTCTTTATATTTGAATTCATTGGAGTTATAGGGTTATGCCCCAATTTACATTACTTTGTACAGTCAGTGGTACAAAAAATGACTTTACCACATTTAAATTTGATGACATGTTTATTTTTCATACCAGATACTTTAATTCTACAAGTCACACATGAAAATTTTTATTTATACTCACATGAATATATAAGTGCAGGAAAAATTTGTTCATTTCGTTCCTGCGCAGTTTCTACCAAGATACGCAACGGACCTTTAGGTGTCAACACTGCCACCAAATCTGTACAATAAAAAAGGTGTTGAAATGATTCAGTTAGGAAGCACAGAAGAGTCTTTGCTTTACAAATAGAATCCAATTTTAATTCTTACACCGTGTAGTGATACTGTCCGAGTACCAGAAATGGGAAGATAATCATGAATGGTAGTAAGGTAAAATCTAGCCAGATTGGTCGAGGGGGAGAGGTCAGACTAAGACAGGTACCCTGGTCCTCCAGGTTGGGGGTTGGTCGCAAGGCTAACAACCTTGCACCGTAAAAAGGAAGATGTTTCGAAACCTCCATCAAAGCCTCGGACAGACGGACCTAACAGAGGACCGAACGGAAGAGGAGAATTGAGGAGGCCACGTACCGAATACGGACCGGAGAGACATAGAAGAAGAAGTAAGGTAAAATATTGAACGACACATGATATATTTTAAAGTGCTGTATGTACCACTCAGATGGCAACTTCTACAACCAGCAAAAGTAATTAGCCAGCAAATTAATATCTGTAAAGACTATGAAAGACATCACAATGGATATTAGGGAAACGGGAGTTGGAGGTGCGGACTGGATTCGTCTGGCTCAGAAAAGGGACCAGTGTAATGTTATATTACCCCAAACAGAGATGACTCCTAGTACAACCCAAGTGGTCCATTCCGGAAGATATTTGATGAAGACTAACGCCATAAGTGCGGCCACAAAGATTAAGTAGGCTTGCTGGAGTCTTAGAGGTCCTTGCCAATGAATGCAAATCATGCCAACAACACCAAAGTTCCACATTAATATAGCCAATGTGATGTAGTCCATCGGTACATTATATGCTCTCAACACTTCCCTGTAACAAGGAATGGGCAAGATGTTCCATGTACAATATAACACCCTACTTTCATTTAAATGTTTCAATTCACACAATTGATGAGAAGGTAGTGAATAAATAATTCATGTTTGAAATATTGGCATCTTCATACTCACCACCACGAGAACCTGAAATCTCACCCGTATGGTTATATTTTGAATTTCAAATGCCTTACTATTTTTAGGGAGCTGGGATAGCTCAGTCAGTATAGTGACTAGCTACGGGCTGGACGGCAGGGGTTTGATCCCCGACGGGGGCAGAGGATTATTCCTCTAGCCTCTGCGTCCAGACCGGCTCTGGGGCCCACCCAGCCTCCTCTACAATGGGTACCGGGGTCCTTTCCCGGGGGTAAAGCCGGCCGGGTTGTGATGCTGACCACTCACCCCCATCTAGTGCCGAGGTCAAGAATGAGTAGGAGCTATACCTCCACTCCCCCCAAGCGCTTACATGGCGTATAGTGGGACAAACTTTACTTTACTTTACTATTTTTAGTGACAGGTTTTATTTTATCGCTTAATTGCATGAAAAACATATAATATTCGAAACGAGAAGAAGAAAGCTAAATTTAATTAAAATATCAGACACTAAACTTACTCCAAATAGAGGTATGAGAAAATAAACAGCAACATGAGAGATGAGAGGATGAGCCAACCATGGATTATCTGCAACACAAAATCATAATCTGCATTACAGGTTTTATTTCTGATGTCACGAAGCCACAAGGTCCCAGACTTCTTCGGTCAGACGATCCGTTAAACAGTTCACCAACAAAAATTCAGAATCTCTGTTTGTGCAAATAAGATCAGTGCTCGGAGGTTCTGATTCCTGTGTAATATATGACAAATATGTTCCTTGATTCCTGTGTAATATATGGTTTTATTAAAAGTCTTCTTACAAAACTTTGTATTACATTAATTTTCAGATGCCCCTTGTATTTAGACATACCTTGTAGCAGCGGTACTTGTAAAGAACTATAAGCAGAACTGTCATCACAACAATCACAGCCATCAAAATAAGTGAATTGGCTACGGCATTCCACACTTTTGTGCTAGTGTCAGGACTGTCTTCGTGGAATGGGGTATACACACTGTATGAAAAAGACGGCAATAAGTGTAATAATATATGTTATCATCATTCATAAACATGCACACACTTTGATCAAATAAGTGGTCCTTTATTTATAAATCGTAATTAGTCCACAATCAACTTCATTTTGGAATGTACCTTACAATTTTTTATGCAATTTATTTTCTCTGGGAATAAAATGTCAATAGTTTTGCCCTAAGGATAGAAACTGACAGTTTTTTTGTGAAATGTCAACATTTTACACTGATATATTGACACAGCTTACATAGAAGAAATGACTGACTCACTGACATTGTAATATTACAGATATTGACATACATGTCTGGCTTACAATTTGAGTAATAATATGGGCGAGTTCAGATATACTTACAGGTAAATATCCTTGGTGGTATAGAAGGTGACAGAGCTGATGGTCGCCACAACAACCAACATGCATAGCGACACAGGTACAAAAAGTTTTATGACATGTTTTGCTCCATATTTCAATTCTTCTTCTTCCTCTATTGGCCATTCTGGTACACCAGAATGATTATCTGCAACTTGGCCACCTACAGGAGTACTAGTGGATGCACAATTCACTAGTCCATTCTCTTGGTGCTATAAAACACAAAGGGAAGATTAATTTTTACAAATTATTATCTACCATTTCCTTCTGAGGTGACTGGCATTAATGATATGATAATGCCTATGTATAATAAGGATAGAAAAATAGGAACAGAAACATATGTAAATCTTTTAAGGCATAATCCTGGTCATAACCTCACAAAACTGTGCTACATTATGAAAAAGACTGGTGGCCTTGGTACATCTCAAATAAAAGACTCATTTATTAGTGACTGTTCTAACTTCACTACCACTGCTATGAATGATGACCAACTTCACAACCTGGTCACTTTACCTGCTGCAAAAGACCTCCCCATGGTACCAATCAATTGGGCCCATAACAAATAGCCTATTTCAATTGCTGTTAGACCAGTGATTGAGATTAGCTCTTTCTAGTGGACCCTGAGTAGGTGATAGTGATAGAAAAATGTGTGGACACAAAGTATAATGATACAACTTCATATTAATATGCATGCAACACAGCTTATGATTAGCACATATTAATAAAAGTCAAATGTTGAGGTTAAGGTCTACACAATGTTTGGTTACCTCAATCTCAGCAATACTTACATCCTCTTCTGCAGGGAATGGTCTTGGTTCTTGTGGGTTTCGTGGTTTGCGTCTTTTATTACTCTTATCAGCCACAGGTTCAGTTCTGACAGGTGCTACATGTGCATCCATTAGACTCGTGTACTCTGTAGCTGATTCAAATTCACTATCAGACATTAACTAACTAGTACAGTAAATACTTGTTATCTACAATTCTTGATTATTCACACTATCAATAGCACACAAAACCTGATAACAGCAAACGACAAGGATTACATTACAGCACTAAAATGCCTACCTTCCATTTACGTCGTCCTACTCACAACGGTAACTTAGAATTCGGCCACGAGAGGGCACAATACGACAGCAGTAACTGTAGATAGCTGCTGCCATCTTCAGGTAACATTCCTGTTGTAGGTTATGTAGTACTGACAGATAAGTCAAATTACTCTAAGCGTAAGAATTTTAAGAAGTTACATAACGGCCAGCTTCATACTTTGCATTTTAAATTAAAAAAATTACACAAAGGCCAGGTCCATACTTTTTACTTAAAGTAACAAAATAATACATAATTTTGGTCAAAAAGCTCGTTAGACTGATGCTGCCATCTTTATTGTAATTTGTTTATAATTTTTGGTTTGTCCTCTATCCGTAACTGGCCATTTGGCTGTGATGAAGCACACGAAAGTAAAAGATTAAATGAATTATTTTTCAGCATAGTAACCAATTGCTTACAAAACTATTTTGTGTTACAACACATTAAAACTTAAAAGTAAAGTTTACCTAAATGTTCGTAGTCACATGTTCTTTGCTACTAGATATGATACGTAGATGTACTGCCATGACTCGATGCTAAAATGGTTTGCATTCTTGTGAGATTAGCATCAAGCAGGCAGGAATATCTACCCCTTGCACCAGTCCTCAACGTTTCCTTATTTTCTTGCAATACTTCGTGCGCCTTCACATTCTCCGACTTCTACCCTCTTCATCTGATATCGTTGTTGCTTTATATGTAATTTTAAAATTGAACGCCTGTGTTCCCTCACATAACGCGGAATATGCGAAGGCCAGCACTTTCTCCTAACTCTCACTTCCTGTCAAATCGAACAGCTACATTACACTCGATTGAAATTTGAATGTGAAGAGTGAAGATACGTGGTGAAAGAGGGTTCTGTGATCTAAGAACCTATATTGACTTTGAATATCAAATAAGTGCGAGACGTATTTGCTTGTTTCTGGTTCCGAACACTACTTCCTATACGAACGACTAGCGACGTGTCAGACATTCAAACAAAATCAGTTTAACGGCTGAATAAACTTAGCAATATAACGGATGTACTATAATTTTCTGTTCCAGTCATGAGATCGACAGGGATAATGGCTGTATTCTATGTTCTTTGCTTGTACGTGCCTTTCGTATGAAGTGAAAAAAATATTAACATGGCAATACCAACCTCTTATGAAAAAAACAAAACAAAAAAACAACTGACGATTAACATCCGCTGTGCTTTGCAATTTTATCTTTAACTTTTCTCTTCACAAAGCTGTAAGAGCACAAAATTATACTGTTAGTTCTGCTAATACCAGTATTATAGTAAATACATTGTTCTGAATTAAATAATTTACTAATGTCACATTTATAGCCATAGTTCACAATACATTACAAGACCAATGAATAAAAAATAACCCCTATATTAGCAGCCTAACCCCCAGTTTATTATTGCATATATGAGAAAAACATCTTCTGTTTACGTGTTCTTACTTTACTTTGCGTTTTCCAAGAACGGGGTTTCCGAAAATCAGGGTGTAGGATATCTGTATTATAAAAGATCACGGCGGCAGGCAGAGGTTGAGTCGTAAAGATGAATTATTGTGGCAAGTCTACGAGAACAAGAGCATTGTAATGGAAAAATAGGTTACGTATATTTAATTTTCTGGGGCGCACACAAAAATGCCAGGTGTACTGTCGACAATAAAGAAGCAAGGAAAAAGAATTGGCTAAATGAAAGTGAAGACAGCAAGAAGATCAAGAAACGTGGAAATAAAGAGTCGAAAACAATATTCAGGACGAGAAAGTTCAACCGATAACAAAGAACGAGGGAAACCAAACATACGAATGACAAAACCTACAGATTCTCATAATCTCCATAACAAACGATATTACAAAGACACTAGGACGATGTGTACACTGGGCCTACACAAAACTCTGCTTAAAATATTTACTCAGACAGAAAGGACTAAGGAACTTTAACTTCAACGTTACTTCAAAACATGTTTGTCTTAATTTTCTGGTGAAATCAATTCATGTTGCGTACGAGATTATATCGCCCAGACAACACAGAAGAAGGCAATGGCAAACCACTTCTGGAACATCTGCCAAGAACGTATATGAACAGGTCCCAGTCCGAGAAAAGGATGGAAGGATCCTGTTCATATGGACCTGTCGTCAGACAGAACACTAAATAATAATAAGATGACGTGGTCTAGCGGTTAGAACGCTGGCCTTGTAATCCTGGGGTCTCGGGTTAGATTCCCGG